AACAATAATCAAAAATAAAATAAGATGGCAACTCAATCCCCACCTTTGGTTCTCGCCATTCCCCATCACAGCTTTATTCTTCTCCCTTGAACTCATAATACAAACTTACTTTCAAAACGGTTTTCCTCCTCCATTAGAAGTAAACCCCACAGCTCAGGGATTTTATGTTTGGCTCACTGCTGGCTCCTGCTGCTCAGAACAATGCCTGGCACATGGTGGCCTCCAGATGCCATGGGGCTCCAGATGCCAGCACCCCTGGGAGCTGCAGCCTGACTCAGCAGTGGGCTGGCATTTCCTGGGTGAACAAATCAGAGCCATGTTGTGCTTCTGTCACCTTTTCTTTATCTTCAAAAAGCCATGATTTGTGGGTCTTGTTGCTCTTGTACCATAGCTTTTATAATTTCTGCATATTCCTTAATCTTAAAGATTTGGTTTTGAATTCTATTTAGTCTTCTTTCCCTCCTTTTTATTTCTGTTTTTGTTGTTGTAAAGACTTCAAAGTATTTTGCTATGTTTTGCTTTAAAGTTTAAAGTCATTTTCTGTTGAAAAAGATAAGATGGAAGAACAGGACCTCTAAAAGGGCTAGGAGAATTGCTTTGTTCCAGGTACAGATTTCCTAAAATCATGACCTGTAAGCAAAATTACATTTATTTTATAGCATTGACTCATGATTAATAAGACTAGACACACAGACAAACAAAACCAAACATACACATGCCAAACTCTCAAGGGTACGGTAGAACTTAGTAGGCAAAGGGAAGCGAAGAGAGCATAGGGGAAGGGAGGGGAGGGGAGGGGAGGGGATGCCCATCTCCTGTAGGGAAGGAGCTTGGGGTTCTCTGGGAACATGCCAGTGTTAGGCAAAGTTGTGTGAGAAGCAGGAACCTGAGTCCAGGTCTCCTAGTGCAGGCCTGTTAGGGTCCAGACCAGGAGTCCAGTATGGCAGAGAGAAATGACAAGAGAAATGACAGCCACGATGGACAGGTGGAACATGCAAGAATTTTGAGATCCTTGAGAAAAGGCACCTGGTAAGAGACCAAATTTCCCAAGTCTTGCAGATTGAGGGTTCAGATTATTGCTTTTACATATTACAGGGAAGTGTGACCTGCCAGCAGGAGAAGCAAGGGCACATCAGGGTCACTTCTGCTATGTGGGTTTGCCTCCCTGAACCTCCCAAGAGTAGGGGCTCCATTTGCTTTGCCTCTGTAGCCTGTGCCCAGTGCGATAGCTGTGGCGCGAACAAGGGAACAAAGTGTCTAACCGTGCTCACACTGCCTGGAAAGAAGACCTAAATAATGAACCTGTGCGCCTCCCCTGGTGGCGCAGTGGTTGAGCATTGGGCTGCGAAGCTGCCCGCAGCCAGCCTCTGCAGCGCTGGTTCGATCCCCGGCTGCTGGCGGAGGATCCCACATGGCGCGCAGACCTCTCCTGCCGCGCCCGCTGCTCCCCTCAGCAGTGTATTTCGTCAGTCTGCCTGTTCTGTTCCCCGCTCTGGCTCTGGTGAATTCTCTCACCCTCCCGCGCTTCTGACTGTACCCAGTGCTTGTATAAATAAATAAATAAATCTTAAAAAAAAAGAATAATGAAACTGCGGGCCAGAAAGAAAGGGGACGCCAGGAAACCCAGACAGTTTGTCTCCTTAGAACCACACCGGCTAGTCCTCCTCCGGGATGGAACAGCAGCTGCTTTGCTGAGCGAGGGAACATTTGCTTCTCTCCGCAGAACAGTGGAGAAACCCACTCACCCCCCGAGCAGAGCATCGCAGTGAGCTCACACTGCAGGCAAGGAGCCATATGGAGTGGGGTTTCTCAGCAGTCCCCAAGAAAGGAAGATGCTGGCTTCCCCTTCCCCCTGACCTTCTGCCCTCCCCCATAGTGAAGCCCTGAGGGATGGGGGTGGTTGAACATTAAAACCAGAGTGTGCAGGTGGGGTAGGTAGAATGGGAGAGAGACCTTGAGCAGATGTGGTGGGGGGTGAGAGGAGGTAAATGGGACTAGAGCCGGGGGGGAGTGTTGTGGAACTTCTGCACCCCCCAAAAAGAGCCTTTGGTTTGAGTTCTGCCTGGTGTTCCTTTAGGGCTTACCGACAGCCATGAGAACAGAGACGCTGAGATGGCAGAAATGGGAGGGAGAGGCTCCTGGGAGTCCTACTCCCTGGCCTCAGCCTTCTCCAAGGCCCCACTGACCTAGGGCTCCAACTGGGGTAGTTTGAGTTGATTTCTGTTCCTGAACACAAAAAGACCCTCAACTAAGACAATGCAGTAGGCCAAGCTCTTTCGCTTCCCCAGCAGCTGCTACAGCGAGCTCTTCTCCAAACCTTCTGCCCAGCCAGCCGGCCTGCGTGGATGCCATTTGCCCGTGCACCAGTGAGAATATCCCTTCATTCTGGAGCCTTCCTTTAGACGCGTCCGTCTGTCCTTGGGATGTTTGAAATTGCAGGAAACAGGGGTATCCTTTATTCGGGGCTGTCTGGCAGTGACACCCGAAAGCAAACCCACAAAGGCAATAGCAATAATGGAACCATCACCGCAAACCCAAAAGAGGAAATCATAACAAGGACTTCTCACCTTTCACAAAGAAAAGCACCATCCAGCCCCTGAACGTCCACCCACCACACAGAGAAGCAGGTGTCTGCCGTGTCCTGCGTTCTCAATAGACGGTAGTTATTTTTGTTATTTGAAGAATTTCTGGGTGGCCAAAGAAAGGGGGATTCTACTTTCTGCTTGGCCCATCAAAGTCCCTTTCTTCACTCTGGTCTCAGTTTGCCCCTTTGAAAAAAGAGTTGTTGGACCAATTGACCTGGAGGCCTTTCCAGCTCAGGCAGTTATCAAGTCCCGGACAACTCTAAGCAGCGGGGAAGGGAGAGAGCAGCAGGAATCCCAGCGTGTCCCATGAAACCTGCACTTGGGGAATTAGGGCAAAGAAATGACTCTTCTGGTTACCACAACAAAGCAAAACTGAGGCAGTCCTGTATTTCCTTCCTTTCTACCTGGCTGCAAATGCCAGGTGGGCAATTGTCAACAGGGTAAAGTCTGTAGTTTTGCATTCTTCACCTAAATGCTCCAGATTATGTTCGAGGGACTGACACCATCTGACATGGACCGGGCACCACACGCTGTTATAATGATCTGAGAGCCCTCTCGGGCCACAGGCTATGTCACCTTTAGCTGTGGAACAATAATAAGTATTAGCGGGTGCTGGTGTGGGGTGGGAGGGGGGGAGACTGCTTTTCTATTCTTGACTCCTGAGCCAATTGAGAAATAAGCCAAAGAATAAACTCTTATCTTTACTACTGTAAAGTTGACATCTCTGAGTGTGACTCAGAGATGCAGACACGTGACTTCTTCACAGTGAACTCTAAATTTAACCATCAAATTGAGCTCCATAGACAGTGCAAGGACATGCATCTCCCCATGTGGGGTCTATTCTTCCAAACTTGCTGCATGAAACAGATTAAAATGTGTACTCCCAAAGGGAAAGGAAAGAGGAAGGCACGGAGCTCACAATCCCGGGTTCTCTCCAAACTCATTTATAATCTAAGTTCTACTTCCTCTCCTGGGAAGTCTGAGGGAGAAGACAAGTCAGGAGGGGGTATTTAATAATTTATTTCTAGAAATTCTTGAACTTCCTATGTAGGTAATCATAGCATCTTATGAATGGTGAACCTTTTTTTGATTCTTAAAATACTTGTAATTTTAAGTGCTGTTCTTTTTTTTTATTCTCCTAAGGCCTCCATCTTGATGTTGAACAGAAGTAATTATAGTTGTCTCATCTTGGCTTCATTTGCATGCAGCAGGTGGTTCACCTTTTTTTTTTTTAAGGATTGATTTATTTATGCATTCAAGAACTGGGGTACAGGCCAGAGATGTGGGGGGTGAGAGGATTCACCAGAGACAGAGTGGGGAACAGAACAGGCAGACTGACTGAAAACACTGCTGAGGGGAGCAGCGGGCGAGACAGGAGAGGTCTGCTGCGCCATGTGGGTAGCTCCCTGGCTGGGAATCAAACTCTTGCTGCAGTGGCAGTGCGTCTTAACCCCTTGCGCCATCAGGGAGGCCCCCAGTTTCACCTTTAAGAATTGCATTTGTTCTAGATCTGAGGTGGAGATTCTTTTATAAGTCAAGGGATTTTTTCCTTCTAAGTTTAGTATTTTTTAAAATTATGATCAGATAAATTGAATTTTATGGAATGTTTTATCACATTGTTCGAGATAATCATAAAGCTCCTTTCTTTTTCTCTTTCTGCTCTCCACTGGGATCCTGACTTTACCCTGGTAGTGCAGATCAAGGTCAAGGTCATGGAGACCATTCTTCTTAGCTCAGACTGGAAGGGCAGGAATGGAGCCCTAGAGTCTTCCTTGGTAAAGCTTAGCTCTTTGGACTCTTCTGTGTGGAGAATTGCAAGATAGCCATGCAGGCATCCTTTTGATGTATTATTCTGCTTATAAAACATCTGCTTTTTCAAAATCCTGACTTACTCAAGATCTCCTTCCTATTGGAGTGAGGAGGAGAAATCGTGAAGGAATTGTGGAGGGGAGAAACCCCATTCTGAAACCCACCTGTACTTTGCAGCAACAAAATAAGCCTTGTATACGGAATAGGGATGAGGAAGCCGAGCCTCAGAGCAGGGAAGCGCACCGGCCAGAGCAATGGCAGTGTGGGGCTTGTGCCCAGAGACACAGCTGACCTCCCCACAACAGAGAAGTGAGACCCCAGTCCCCCCTCCCACGAGTATTCCTCTTCCTTGCCCTGAGTCCTGAGCTCTGCTTCCCCAGCTCTCTAGACTGGTCCCAACGCCCCTGGCAGTGGGAAGTCTTATGTCCCTCCAAGCCTGCTTCCAGACCCCCCTGGGCTCACGGGGCAGTGTGTCCTGGCACTGCTGTGAGTATTGTGCATGTGTGTGTGCAGGGGGGATGGGGTTTGGGTTCCTGCCTGGAAAAGGGAGGGGAGCAATGAGGTGGTTCTGATCCTGCTTGTGTGTGGACCAGGCTTGGTGCCGAGATGAATGGACACTTGCTGCTGCCGGGCCTGCTCCTGACCCTCCCTCTGACCACAGGCTGGACAGTCTCTAATTGCCTAGTCACTGAAGGCTCTCGGCTGCCTCTGATCTCCCGCTTCTTCCTCATCTGCCCTGTGGACTCCAGCCTGCCCCTCTTTGCTGAGTGCAATTCCGTGAGCAACCTGACGCAGGCTTTGGAGGCTGTGCCTCAGAACGTGGAGGGACTCTGTCTCTCTGGGTCCACCTCCGTCCTGCCCCCCGGTGCCTTCTCCCATTTTCCTGGGCTCAAGGTGCTGAGGCTAAATCTCCGTCTCACTCAGCTCCTGCCAGGGGCTTTCCGGGGCTTGGGGCAGCTGCGGAAGCTCTATTTCACGGACTCCCAAAAGAGGTCCCTCCTTCTACCCCGTGATGCCTTCAGCAACTTGAGCTCCCTCCAGCACCTTGCTTTCTTTGGCCTCTGCCTGGATGGGAACTTGGGTGTCCGGTTACCTCCCAATCTGCGGCAGCTGACTATCAAATTTACCGACCTTTGGAACATGGGGCTGTTGGCCCACATCTTCCCAGACCTGGTGCTCGGCTCCTCATCTGGGGATGCCTGGACTCTGGATGTGCTGGACTTGTCATTCAACAGAAATCTGACAGTGGCCAGTGCCGGGGCCCTTAGGGGTCTCAAGCTGGGGTCTCTGTATCTGGACGAAACAAGGATGGATGCAGCTGCAGTGGTGGGCCTGGGGCTGCAGGGACTGAATGTCCTGTCTGCAGTAAGAACTGACACGGCTGAGCTGCCTGCAGCAGCAGTTGCCCTCTTTGAGCTACAGGAGCTGAATTTGGGGTACATCCCAATGCAGAGCCTAGCTCTGGAGGCCCTCGCTCCCTGCCACAGCCTACAGAAGTTGGGGCTCAGGCACAGTGGCCTGAGGGACCTGCCTCCAGGCCTCCTGGCTGCCATGCCCAGACTTCAGAGACTGAACCTGACTGGCAACCAACTGCAGAGTGTCTCCTTATGCACCAACGAGCCCCGGGCTGTGTCAGGACTGCGGGTCCTGGATCTGTCCTGCAACAGACTGCATGCTCTTCTCCCAGCCTCCTTCTCCTGTTTGCCCCACCTGCGGGAGCTGTGTCTCCGCGGAAACCAGCTGGTGTTTCTGGAGGCACAGGTATTCCAGGGCCTACGGAGTCTGGAGACATTGAACTTGCAGGGGAATCCACTGGTAAATCTAAGCAAGGGCTGGTTTTCTCCTCTGCCCACACTGACCACTCTAAACCTAGAGGACACCCACATAGTATGGGCCCCAGCCTGGGACTTCTGGGGCCCAGAGAGTCTGCACGAACTGAGCCTTCAGCTCCCCTCTGGACCTTCTGGGGCAATGTTATCTCTGCCCATGGGGTTGACCAACTTGGAGCTTCAGGCAGACTCAGGCAGGAAGCATTGGAAGCTGGCTCCTAGTGTCTTTCCCTCCTTGCAGTCCCTGACTCTAAAGGGCTGGGGACTGCAGCTGGGGACCCAGAACATCACCAAGATCTTCCCTGCCCTTCTCCACCTCTCTCTGTCCGGCAATAGCTTGGCAGCCCTCTGCTCCCAGGGCACCTCCAGCTTCTTTCTCTGGCAGCTCCCCAGGCTCCAGTATCTAAGGGCCAGGGGGGATGGGCACAACCCCAGGCCCTGCTGCATCACGGGGCTGCCTAGTCTACGGGAACTGAAGCTGCAGGGCCTGCAACCCAGAGCCCCGCCCCGTCCAGTGCGGCTTGAGGAGCTAGTGGGTGAGCTGCCCAGGCTTGAGGTGCTCCATCTGTTTCAAACTGGGGTGGAGACGCTGTCGGCTACTGTTTTCCAGGGCCTGGGAAGCCTCCAAATCTTAGTGCTAGACGAGGAGAAGGGCCTCGTGCTAGATGGCAGCCTCCAGGAGCAGAGTCCCCAGATGCCCCAGTACATGTATATTATGTCTACCCCCTTGGCCTGCCAGTGTGCCAATGCCTGGGTAGGGCCCTGGCTGGAGCGGTCCCCCAGAACATACATACACATAACATCATTCCAGCAGTGTCAGTCAACAGTGGGGGACCACCACAGTAATTCCCTTTTCCCCTTTCTCTGGAGCCACTGCCCCAATACTTTGGGGTTGGAACTCTTTTTGGGGAGCTCTGCCCTGCTATGTCTGTTGCTCCTCTTGCCCCTCCTACAAGAAGCCAGAAACACCTGGATCCTCTATCTGCAGGCCTTGTTCAGGACTTGGCTTCAGGGTCTGAGGGGCAGGAGTGGGGAGGGCAAGAGGTTCCTTTATGACGTGTTTGTGTCCCACTGCGGGCAAGACCAGGGCTGGGTGGTGGGGGAGCTGCTGCCTGCTCTGGAGGGCTGCTCCCCGGCTGGTCGGGGGCTGCGCCTCTGCCTCCCTGAGCGGGATTTTGAACCAGGCAAAGATGTGGTTGATAATGTGGTAGAGAGTATGGCAAGTAGCCAGGCCACTCTGTGCGTGCTGAGTCACCAGGCCCTGCGCACCCCCCGCTGCTGTCTGGAGCTCCGCCTGGCCACCTCCCTCCTGCTGGCTGCCCCCTGTCCCCCAGTGCTGCTGCTGATCTTTCTGGAACCTGTGTCCCGCCATGAGCTCCCTCGTTACCATAGACTGGCCTGGCTGCTCCGCAGAAAAGACTATTGTGTGTGGCCCAAGGAAGATGAAAGAAAGGATGATTTCTGGGCTTGGCTGCGGGGCAGGCTGGGGGCCAGGCTGGGGCAGTCTGGATTGGGCTAGAGTGGTTATGTGTGTGTGTGTTGGAGGGTGGGGACAGGAAAAGTAAGCTAGCCTGGCAGGGAGATAGTGGGTATGTGTGGGCCTGAGACCAGACTCAGCTGCTGATGGGAAGCAGAGGTGCTGTAGGCCAAGGAAGGTCAAATGTTAGCTTTGGGAACACAGGATTTGTGAAGGATCTAGAGGCCGAATGAGCAAATCTGGAGATGGCAGGTGGCTGTTCAGTGATGTGATCTCAAGATCTTCAAATCTCAGTCAATTTATGAAATCCACAAAATGCTTGGCTCATACCTCAGTTTCTTCTGTAAAAATTAGATTTTCTTTCTTTCCTTTTTTTTTGGTAGAAACCTACATGAGGCAGAAAGTAGAAGGGCTGGACTCACAGAACTGTAGACCTGAGGAGACAGAGTTGGGAATTCCTGGAGCATGGGGCCAGAGGGAGGGCTGTGAGCATGTCCAAGCTGTGGAAATGGATCCAGGTCAAGTTCATCCAGATCCTAAAGGGTCGGAGAGGCCCTTGGGTTATAGAGGACCCAAAGGCTGGAACACTGCCCAGGAGACAGCAGACAGATGGCCTGTTCTCTCAATGCAAACGTGGAGGCGTGATCACAGCCATACTCTCCTTTGAGCCTGGAGGAATCCACCTGCTGAGCACTCTGTGCCTTTGGCTACCTGTAGCTCCTCAATCACCTAACTCTTGCTTCTGGATCTTTGCATCTGTTGACCCTTCCCCCAAGAAAAGCATTCCTCCAATTTCTTTCCTCTGGGGAATTACTGTGTAGCCTTTAAGATAGGCTCAGCCATGACCTTCTTCAGAAGCCTTTGGTGACTTTCTAGCTCGGTAAGTTGGGTTCTCACAACTTCCTGCATGTCTTGTTCACAAAGTTCTGATGACAGTGAACCGAATTTCTGGAATGGTCTCCAAAGTGGGGTGCACAAGATGATTCATGAGGGTTTAGGAAGAAAATGTTCAAACTGTATGTTATTTATTTCTGTTTTGTAGAAATCTCATTTCTGAAGCTAGACGATCTGCTTCTTTAGCCGTGTGTCTTTGGCATGTCATATAATGTCTCCACACCTCAGTTTCTTCTGTAAAATGGGATAGTATTAGACCCTCCCTCAGAGGGTTTTGTGAGGATTAAATGAGTTAATATGTATAATGAATTGAGAGCAGACACTAATAATGTACTGTAAACAGTCAATAAAATTTAGCTTTTCCTGTAATTTCACATGTACTCTATGCATATCATTCACAAGCACAGATTGGGAGTGTGTGCTCAAAAATGTTTTGCTAATAGGAGTACCTGATTGGAAAGTTTGGAGGTCAGGTCCCAGGGACAAGAACCAGGTTTGATTCCTCTCTGCATCCTTAGAGCCAAGTGCTGGCTTAGCGCAGAGAGCGCCTGGACAGACAACTGTGGAAAGAAGAAAATCTTGGGGGATACTGAGGTAGCCATCTGGGTCTGTATAGTTTAGGCCCTATTGCTAATTTCTATTAACAAGGGGCAGGGCAGAAGAGCTCTTGGGGCTTTAGTTCTGTTCTTCGGTAAAGTGCTAGGCTTTTACTAGACAAAGGTTAAGGGAAACCCTAGAACAATTCCAGGCTGGATTTAGGGTGCAGGGCGCCCTCTTGTGTCCTAACGTTGTCCTTTTCTCTCTGTGCATCTTCACTTCCGATTTTCCACTTCAAGGTAGATGCTCTTTAAGGGGACCCCGCAAAGATGCCTTACCAGCTTAGAGGCTGACTCACTTTCAAATATCCCACCCCCCTAGCATTCCATGCTGCCATACTGTCTCTTCCCACTTAACACGGGATCTTTTCCTTATGCAGTGTGGGACTGAGAAAAACCTTTGCAGTCATATGAGCAAGGGTTCAAATCTTAGCCCTAGTACTTACTTGGCTATGTATCCCTGAGCATGTCACTTTGACTCTCTGAACCCCCACTTCTTCCTTGTAAATTGGTAATAATACCAATATCATGGGGCTATTGTGAGACTTCAGTAATCAGTGCTTATAGGTTATTACTAGGTTCACTAAGTAAAATCACATGAGGTATTGTTATAAATAAGTCAGAACATGTTTCATCAAGAAGGACTTGAAATGAGTCTCTAAAACTAAGATAGAGACGAGAATGACTCATATCAGAAAGTGTGAGGAGGTGGAGAAAAAGAAACGCTGGTACACTACTGGTGGGAATGGAGACTGGCCCAGCCCCTATGGAAAAATGTATGAAGGTTTCTCAAAATATTAAAAATAAATCTACATATGACCCAGCAAGTCCATTCCTACATATTTCTACCTGAAGAATGTAAAAACACTATTTCAAAGATATATATATATATATATATATTTTACAAACACACACACACACACACACACACTCACTCCTGTGTTCATTGCAGCACTATTTATAGTAGTCAAGTAATGGAAACAACCTAAGTGCCCAAGGACAGATGAATAGATTAAGAAGACGTGGTATATATACACAATGGAACATTACTCAGTTATAAAAAATAGCAAATATTGCCACTGTCAACATTGGAGATGGAAATGGAGGAGATTATGCTAAGCAAAAGAAGCCACTAGGAAAAAGACAAATACCAGATGGTTATACTTATCCAGAGAATCCAAACAAAGGGTCAGATAAAACCAAACCATATCAAACCCTAGAAGTCTGACTGTAGAACTGAAGTTACCAAGGGACAGGGGGAGGGTGGGGAGCAAAGTATAGAGGGTGTCCAGTGGACTATGGTGGAGGACTATGGGTGCCTTGGTTGTAGGGTGCTATGATAACATACATCCAAAGGGATTGATCCGATACATCTGAACTGAATACATACAGTGTTGTAAATCAATGCTACCTAAAACAACAACAAAACTAAGATATGTAATCCTAATTCTATTGGCCAATATGTATTGATCATATGTATTGATCAGTTTTCCCAAAGTCCTATAACCCTTAGGAAAAATCTTATTTAATGATTATTAAACTCTCTCCGTGAGATATGTGCCAAATTCTTAACATCTTTTCCCTGCTTTAATCCTCTCCACAATCCTCTCCACAATGGCGTCTAGTAGTAGACGCCATTACTAATATTTCCATTTTACAGATGAGGAAACTGAGTCATAAAGAGGTTAAGTAATTGACCCGGGGTTACATAACTAGTGGGCTAGGCCTACATGTCCTGTCTTTGAAAGTAAGACATTTCAAACACAGAAGCTTGACTCCACAATTTACCTGCACTATCTCATTTAATCTTGACGAAACTCTGCAATGTAGATTCTGTTGTACTTATTACCTGCAAATTACGGATGAAAAAACAAAAAACAAACCCAAGACTGAAGAGATGTAGTAATTTGTTTAAGGCCACACAGCTAAGAAGTAGTTGCGCTGGGGTTTGGATTCATGTTTCACTACAAAACCCACACTCCCAACCCCATTAGACTGCTTACACGCCAATAGAATCACAATGCTACAAAGCAACTGCATTTATATTGATTATTCTGATTATAGTTGTTATGATCGTGATTAACATTCTTCCAGTACCCACGAAGTGTCAAGCTCTGTACTGATTAACGCAACAATGGTTAATATTCCTTGTGTATTACTAGGGACCCAGGCTCTGAGTTAATCGTTTAATTTATTTATTTTAAAGATTTATTTATTTATGCATACAAGAGCTGGGGTACAGGTCAGAGGTACGGGGGTGAGTGGGGGGTGGGAAGATTCACCAGAGACAGTGGGGAATGGAAGAGGCAGATCTACTGAAATACACTGCTGAGGGGAACAGCGGGCGAGACAGGAGAGGTCTGCTGTGTCATGTGGGTAGCTCCCTGGCCAGGGATCGAACTCATGATCCAGAGGCTGTGGACAGCTTCATAGGTTGTGTCTTAACCCCTTGCGCCACCAGGTAGGCCCCCGAGCTAATCGTCTTAGTCGTATTAACTCATTGAAGCATCACCAAAAAACGGGCTCCAGGGATGCTATTTCTGTCCTCATTTTATAGGTGAAGACAAGGTCACATTTCATTTAAAGACACGCAGCTCAGTTATGAGCTAGAAATTGAACCTACAATTATCCAACTCTCTCTAGCCCACCAGTCTGCTGGCCTCTAGTCACCGTCTCCCTTATTTCTTATTGTTTCTGCCTCGCTCTGACCGGGATCAATGGTTTCCCACCGCCGTCAGCAGGCCCCGCCCCCTCGGCTTGAGGGCCCGCCCCCTGGAAGGAGCTGTGATCCGGGAGTCTGTGGAAGGGATGGGATTCACAGCAGGCCCCGCCCCCGTGCCGAGAACCTATTCCGATTCGTTCTGGTGTCCGAGCCCAAGAGAGAACAACGCATCTATTGGCTCGCGCCAGCACGAGGGTCCGCCCACCGGCGCTCGCGCGATTCCTTCTGGGAGTAGTAGTCTCAGACATTCCATTCCCAGGGTGGCGCCGTTGGGACTCCGCGTCCCAGCATTCCCTGCGCGAACCCCGGAGCACTTCCGCCCTGTTGTGAAGTGGGTGTCTCGGTGGGTGAGTCCGGGTGGCGGGGCGGGGGCAGTTGAGACTCAGCCTCTGGGCTGGAGGCTTAGGAGGTGGTGGTGCCACAGGGGGCCGGGGGAGATGAGAGGGAGGGAAGGAAGAAGCTTTAACGTTGGGGCCGGGGTTGAGGGGCGATCAGAGGATGAAGCGTTCGGAGATGGAAGAGTCAGAGAGAGGTCGGGCATGAGGAGGGAGACAGAGGGCCCTGGGAGTCAGGAGGGTCTCAGAAAGGTGTGCAGGTGAGGAGCCCAGTCTTAGAAGGCTCTGGGGACCACAGAGGGAAGGAGAGAGGGCTTGGGGCTGTAGCAAGAAGTGAAGCTGTGAGGGCCTGCGCTTGAAGCCCGACCTTAAAAATGGCAATTCAGCCTCTACCTGCCCACCTGGAACAAACATAATCTGATTTGATAATCCCTTTCACTTTCCCTAATGGTCGTGATCTCTGGATCCCGGTGGGCCGGACTGGCTATTGTGTTCTGCTCCCAGCCTGCGTGTCTTTCCTTATGATGGAAGTAAATGCCCCCATCATCCACTTTACCCAGGCGCCCTTGGATTCCTCTTGAATTTTTCCATTTAAAGGGATCTTCAAATCTTTCTTTCATTAATGTGTCTGGAATCTGTTCCTTCCTTGTCAGGATTTTTGCAGAAGCCTCCACCTTTTGACGCCAGTAGACTGGGCAGATACATTGTAGCTAGTGGGATCTATTTAACCCACAAATCTGGTTATGCCTTCTGCTTCAAAACCTTCCTTGGCTCCCACTGCCTGTAGAATTAAGTCCAAACACTGTAGCCTGACATTCGAAACCCTTCATGAGCTCCCTTTGCATCCTAATCTTCTTGTATCCAACACTCCTAGATTGTCAAGGTTTTCCCCATTTCCTGGGGAGGCTGTTTTTCTACCATTATATATACTGTGCTTTCTGCTTAGAACACCTCCCCCCTTCTCTGCCAAGGGAAACTCTCCTTCAAAAATCAACTCAAATGTCACATGTCTAATTCCCTTAAACAGAAGAAGTCACCCCCCCTCCCACTCCCAGCAACCTTTTTTAATTGTATTTGCCACATTTCATCATACTTATTGTGATTTTTTTCTTTCACTAAACAGTTCCAGAAAAGGAACAGTTTCTGAGTCACCTTTTGTCCAACCCAGAATAGTCAATACTTGATGTAAATCAGTAAGTTACTTGAAGAAGTGTGAATAGAGACCATCTAGGGTGGACTTTGCCATACCAGGCTTTAAGACGGCCACTTCCAGGGAATTTAGTCTTCTTTAGTCTTCTCCAGCCAGCAAGCCTGTCTTTGCTGGAAGCTAATTCAACACTTGTGAGAGTTTCAAATAGGGTGGCAAATACATAGAAGTGCTGCCACTTCCCCTTCCTGTACCTGGCAGTCATAGGTAATTGGTCATAACTGATATTCACATGGGATTCTTAGCACAGTTGACTGAAGTTGATGCTTAAATGAAACTCATTTTCTGTCCCTGTTTAAACCTTAAGTGTGAGGTCAGGCTGCTTTAAGGAGTGACTTGAACTATCAGCCAAATGAGCTTGACAGCCTTTGGGAACTCCCAGTTTCATTCCCCTTGTAGATCATAGACCAGTCTTGACCTTTCCCATGGGCCTGGAGCAGATGTCTGTTTCCCCCATCCCTATTGGCTGGGCTGGCTTCTCATGTTCATATCCACACTCACTGCCCCAGGAGCCAGGACATCCCTTGGCTTCTCTGTGTGTGTGAAGGGATGCTAGTTTTGACAGTTAACACCTATTCCTCACTACTTAGGGATGGCTGTACCCTTTCTAGGTCTTCTGAGTATTGGAAGAGACCGGTGACATCATTTGGCTAAAACATGGCAAAGCGTCAGACAGCCTGTGCCTGCTGAATGAAGCCTACCAGCATGCTCTATTTTATCCTCATGGTATTTGAAACAATTTAGAGTTGGTTGCCAACACTGAAAAATCTAGAATTCCAAGGTTCTCTTGGAAAATTTGGAAGACCTTGGAACACTGGGCCACTGTCCCCTTCCCCTGTAGGTAGTTGTGACCCCACTCCAGTCATTTACTCATTTCCATTCTTGGCCCCTAGACACACTGAAATTTGTGGCCACTGATTCTGGTCTCCCTGTCTCCTTGCTCTACTCATCATACTAACTGGGGGCCTGGGGCAACTGCTGAAGAGGGTCAGGCTGTAAGCTGCAGCCTCGATAGCTGCTGCAGAGGCTATAGTACATTTCAAGCCATGCAGCTGGTCAATGGTAGGAGTGGAACTAGAACCATGACTTGCTCATTCTACTCTGCAGACCTTCTCAGGAGTCTGGATGACTGGCAGACCTACAGTAGGCTATTGTGTGGTAAAGAAAAATGACTGGAGAAAATGAATCTGGGCTTAGCTCCCAACTCTACCACTCCCTAGCTATGCAGTCTTAAGTAAATCTTAATAGAAACTCAGTTCCTTATATGCAAATTGATGTAGTGGAATCATACCTTATAGGATAATTATATTCTAAAGTCAGCACAGAAGGTGAAAATCACCTTTGCCAAAAATCACAGCTTGAAAATGCTTTGGCAGGGAGCCATTTCAGAAACCAACATGCTGTCTTTCAATAAGCTACCTGCACAGCCATGTTTATTTTTAGTTGAATGTTAGATAAAAGAGTTGGCTGGTGTTTAGGGACCACGCTGAAGGAAAGGTATTCAGTGAACTCGGGCTATCTCAGGGACCTACAGAGTCATGGGTTTCATACCACATGCTCACTCTGGATAGAGACGTAGTGAACCGAACTGGCTGCATTGTCCGAATTATGTCCTTTCTTGCTCTTTCAAGTGTTTGTATGTAGTGTGACGTGTGTAGGTAACAGTTCCATGTAATGCAGCTCAAGGCTAATGATTCTGCTTGCCTGGAGGATTTAGTGGGATTATGAATGTGGGGCACTTAGCCCCAGGCCTGGCACCTTATGGACATGCAGTAAGTGGGTGCTCTTTGAGGCTGCTGTTGCTAGTGAGGCCCTAGTACTCCTGGTGGTCTCCACGCTGAGGAATGCCCTTGTCCACTTCCCCTGTCAGCTTTGCTGCTGGCTGACTGTGTTGACCTCCCTCTGTGGACAGGCTGCTATTCATGTCTGCTTAGAGAGTAGTAGAAAGAGCTCTTCTTTCAGATTTCTATTTGAAACTAACTTTTGCGACTTTCAAGTCTTCTCAGAAGAAAATAGCTATTATCTAAGACTTTGGGCTGAGGGGGCCTGTTATTGTTTATTTTGTTGTAGTGTTCTCTCTGTGCAGGAGCTCGGACTTCACGGCTTGCTTATTGAAGGTCTCGCTCACTGGATTGTAACTTTGATGACAGTAGAGTCTGTTACTGGCTACTGCCAGGGCTCTAGCTTCCAGTGCGATGCAGGGAGCACAGAGGGCTCTGCAGATGTCTGTGACTCAGTCCTCTTGTAAGAGAGGGACACAAATGTGTTTGGACTAGTGCATGATTAAGACTGGTTAAAAAGGAAATTTCACAAATGGTTAATTAGCTTAACATAAATTATGGGCCCTCTATAGCCCATTAGCTTTTATATATATTAGATTTATCATTTTAATGTCAGGCAACAAAATTTCCAGTGCCCCTGCTATTTGTCTGACACTGGATTGGGCACTGGAATCAGAAATCAGTAAGATCCAATACTGGCCCTCATAATATAATTGAATAGGGCTGGCAGATTTAAGAGCAGGTCATTGTAATCATATAGGATAACACTTATCAATATATTGGAGCTATGTGCTGACTGCTTTGGGAACACAGGATCTGGGGGAGGTGATTCTTGGTCATCTGATGAGAAGACAGTGGCTTGGAAGCTGAAGGATGAGCCGTAAGCTGCCAGGTGGCCATGAGTTGTGTTGTTGGCCTCCCCCTCACTATATGAAGGTGTTTGGGATGAGCTTGTATTTTCTCCCCCCCTTGCTTTATTTCCAGACAGTTCAATCAGATGACCTAAAATGCAAAATACCACCTTCTCAATTCAGCTGTGTCATTCCCACTTGGAAGCAGCTAATAGCTTCCTTTGAGTCGGCATTTTTTATGTCATCTAGATTCGCTGGGAATGACAAAGAGCTCATTTTTTCAGATAGCCCTGCGTGCGTGTCGTCAGGGTCTTCATTGTATAAAAGCAGCAGCCCCAGCCGTCCACTCCAGGAGCATTTACTGAGAGCCTCCTGTGTTTAGGGTACTGTGCCTACTGTGGGGGTGGGGGTGCGAGACTGGAGGAGGAATAAACACACACGCACACACACATGCCCGCTAATACAATGTAGAAAGTGGCAAGTGTCACTGGCATGGCGATGAATACGAGAAAAGAATTCCTCCTGGTACAAGCAAGAAGGTCATTTATTCTTTTTATCTAGTGTGCACAGAAAGGGATTAATTATAATCCTTGCTTCATGACACTTCACCATCATTAGTTGATCATTATTTCATTGTTTATTGAGTGCTTTCTCTGTGTGCTGAGCACTGTGTTAGGGCCCTTGGGAAGCTTAGTGGGTAAGATAATTACAGTGAAGTGAGATCAGGGCTATGCCATGGCAGCTTGTGACTGAGGACCGAATCTTGTTTCAGGGTACAGGGAGAACCTCTTGGAGGAAATAATTTAAGCTGAGACCTAGCTAGCTGAAGAAAGGGAGGCAACCACAGCATGTGGCGGGGTGCAGAGCAGGAGATGAAGGAGCTGTAAGCTGCACCCCCAGGACACCCTGACTAGTGGGAGCATGGCAAAGAGATGAGGTTGGAGACGTGGGCAGGTTTGTGTGTTATTCCGCAGGGAAGCTGTATGGTCAGAGTTGGGTCTAGCCTGGTTGTGTGGAGAGTGAATGAGGGATGCGGTGAGGGGAGTGGTGGCAGAGGTGTGAGCTGAGGAACAGGTCAAGTGGAAAAGCATGATGATCTCTGGATTGAGGTAGTGGCCTTGGGCATGTAATACTTAGGACACCACTTGGAGATGCACTGGATGTGGGGGGATGGTCTTAGAGAAAAATGACCAGGCTTCTGGTGTGGGCAACTTGATGGAAGGTGGTACCTTTGCTGCATGGAGAGATCCAGAAGGGGGACAGGATTGCAAGAAAAAAATGGTGAATTTGGTTTCTGATTCACTGAGTTGGAGATGTTGTAGACACTGCCAAGTGGAAATATCCTATGGGTGATCGGTTTTGGGAGTCTGGAGGTTTGGAGATAGTTCCTGGCTGGAGTTTGGGAGTCAATTTAGAGATGATGAAAATGCCGTATGGTGAGAATGACCAAGGGGCAGTACAGAGTGAGAGAGGGATTTTGCAAGGAGAGCATCCTCAGAGGAATGCTGAAACTTTAAGGCCCATGAAGGCCTTATGCAGGGGATGACATTCAGAACCCAAGTCAAAATAAGCTCTCACAATGGACACGTGTAGAAGGAAGGAAAGCTGCATTGGGACCAGATTATGGAGGCCTTGATGCTTAGCGTGTCCTGGAGGATTTAACAGAGTGCTGTCTTCCTCCAAAGTGTACTGGCTGCTGGTCCTGGTGCCAGATTGTGGTCTGACTTCCTGCTATCAGAAAGGGGCCTCTTAGCACCCCCATGCCATGAGGCATCTTGGTCCTCTTCACTCACTCTTTCCTTTTTCTTTTTGCCTTTAGAGACGTGGGGAGCATTTCTCCTAGGAGCCCCTGGAAAGACACTGTAGATGCAGGAAGACATTGGCTGAAGCAGCCTAGCTGAAGCGAGGTCTCCAGGATAGAGCATGGCTGTTGCCCTGGAATCCCAGATCCAGGCTTCTTCTCCATCTGAGCCTGAAGAACTCCTGATTGTGAAAATGGAGGAAGATTCATGGAGAACGGAAGCCAAGCTCCAGGAGAAGGACCGTGACCCTGGCCCTGAGGCCTCCCGCCAGCGCTTCAGGCAGTTCCAGTACAGGGATGCAGCTGGACCCCACGAGGCCTTCAGCCAGCTCTGGGTGCTCTGCTGTCGCTGGCTCAGGCCGGAAATCCACCTCAAAGAGCAGATCCTAGAGCTGCTGGTGCTGGAGCAGTTCCTGACCATCTTACCCAGGGAGGTCCGGACCTGGGTGCAGGCACATCACCCTGAGAGTGGCGAGGAGGCAGTGGGCCTGGTGGAGGACTGGCACCGAGAGGTCCAGGCTGCAGGACAACAGGTGAGGCAAATAGTCTGTTCTCTAAGGAGTGGGTTGGGCAAGGCAGGCGGCTGTGACTAGGTTTATAATTGCTAAATTAATATAATAACCATTATTATTAAGCAATTGACATTTATTGAATGCTCATATGTACCAAGCACCTTAAGTGCTTTCCATGTGTTAATTAATTTAGTCCTGTTAACAATTTCATGAGATACTGTTATTTTAATTTTACCAATGAGGAAATTGAGGCAGAGAAAAAAGGTAGATGATTGACTCAATATCACACAGCTACTAGATGGTAGAGCAAGAATTTGCATTTCAGCAGTCTGACCCTAAAACCAGAATTCATAACCCCTGCTCTTAAATTACAACCCAGTACCATATCCACAGCACAGCTAATCAGTATTAATCTTTTTACTTACATGATCTCTTAGGACGCTTACAGCAATAATGAAGGTAGGCAGAACTAGCATTATGGTTCCCTATTTATAGATTAAGGTTCAAAAAGTCAGGTGGTCACAAAACTCAGTGTGAACCAGAACCTGAGCCCAGGTTCTTAGGTTCCAGGTTCTACTACACAGCACAGTGTCTCATGGGAGTTAAAATACCTGAGTCGTGAGTCCCAAATGGGATTTTAGCTGAGATTTCCTGAGCACTCACTGTGTCAGACACTGTTCTAAACTTTTTATACTTATAGTTCATCTCATCAGTCCAGCAACCCTGTAAGTTAGCATTCTTTTTTTTTTTATAGTATTTTTTTTAATGATTTTTTTTTAAAGATTTATTTATTTATTTATTTATACAAGCACCGGGTACAGTCAGAAGCGCAGGAGGGTGAGAGAATTCACCAGAGCCAGAGCGGGGAGCAGAGCAGGCAGAAGGACCAAAGTACACTGCTGAGGGGAGCAGCGGGCGGCAGGAGAGGTCTGCGCGCCTAAGTTAGCATTCTTATCACTATTTTTCAAGAGCGAAAAAACCTTAGAGAGGTAAGTAACTGTGTAGCTAAGTGAGAGAGCTGAGATAGGAAAGTGAAGGTGTTGCATATTTAACAGTCACAGTTCCAGCAATTTGCCTATGACATGATTTGCAATTTTGGGATAACACAAACTTGGAATCCTGCTTCGACGCTGGTATATATAGAACAAGCCCTTTCACTGCTGTGGACTCAATCAGCCCCCCAGAACCTTCATCTGAACACGGCCCAATTTCTTCCACTTGTTACACATTGCCAGTGATTCTTATGCTCATATACGTAATCCCATTTTGTTGGGGGAAATTGTAGGTTTGAGAACATATCCCTTGTAAATGACAATTTTCTGTACCTGAATTGGTGATTGGGGACTTTGGCCATCTGTGCATAGGAACTGGAATTATGTGCGGAAGAGACCAGGTCCTTGGAAGTCGTGCAGGAATCTCAGAGCCTCCAGCCACACCCAGCACAGGGACAGTCCCAGATGCAGCGGGTGAAGAACCTGTGCCCTGACCTTCCTAAGCGTCTAGACACCAAGTTGGTGCCACAGCCCTTGAAAGAGAGCGGTGAGTGCCCAGACTCGGGGAACCGCAGGGGAGAGCGGTCAGGAGTAGGGTAAGGAAGGGCACACAGGGAGAAGGGAGGTGCAGAATTTAAGGCTACAGGACAGAACAGTGTCTGATGGCACACGGGAAGCAAGGCGGTAAGCATGGGTGGGCAGGCTGCATGAGCTGAGTCATGCAGCAGGTTCAGACTGGAGCTGGGGTGTGCGGTGATTCGAAGAGTTCAGAGTGGCACCTCACACACATGGCACGGTACGCAGGGCAACTAGAAGCTAGATGCTCTAGAAAGAACATAAAAGGGGAACTCTGCATTGACTACAGGGAGAGTCTCACTTTGATCTAAGCATGACTTTTGCAGAGCTGAAGCTGACAGAGGGATGACTTTGTACCCAGAACTTGGGATTCAGAGACTTTTCTTCTTTTTAGCTGTTCTCTCTCCTCAAGTCTCTACTCTCCCAAACATGGGGAGCACTGAAGATTGGGAGGTGACAGCTGAGTCCCAGGTAAGCTGCTGTTTGTGCTTCCTTTGCTGTCCCCACTATTCCTGTGCTCATGTCCCCACACTCATCGTCACTGTGGTCTGCTCTCAGCCGAAAGGCGAAAGGGGTGGGGTGTGAGCCTCTGGCTCTCTGGGGCCTCTCCCTGGTCATGTGTTCCTTATTATGCTGGCCTCGTCCCTGGTGTTCCGTGTTCTCATTCTCTTTCCTGGGCCTGGTAAGGTTTCCAGGCTGTTTTTAAGGATCAGAGACATCTGAGGTCCTTCTCTTGTACATCCTGCAGGAAGCCCTCGGCCATGGCACACGTGCAGAGAAGGTGTTCCGCCAAGGCCCTCAGGGAGACCACTGTGGAAATGGAGTATCCTTGGGTAAGGAAGTGATGCCCTCTGAAGATGTGTGAGGTTTCTGCTGCAGTCTGTTCCCAAAGAGCAGTCATCACTTCTTTAAGACTCATGGCTCTGCGAAGTCCGTGCAATTTCAGATGGGAAGAAGATAGGCTCTTCGTGCGTATACTGTGGTGGGAGGGCTGGGGGTGAGGAGTGGAGTCTGCCTGGGTAGAGGCTGACAGGATGACGTCCAAGAACCTGCCCTCTCTCTTTAGTCCCCTCACACGGTCCTGGGCTAACCTGTCTCAGAATCCAATCTTTGCAGCATCAAATAGGATCCATCTCTCAGGCAGACTCCAGCGCTCTAAGCCCATGAGACGGGTGGACTAAACCACCATGAGAAATAAACATCCAAGGCTCAGAACACCTGAGCCCAATGTCGTCAGCCCTGACGCCTTTCTCTGTAGGCGTGTCTACACGGGGTGTCGAATAAGAATGAAATATTTCCCCATGGAACCTGGTGTCAGCAGGCGGGGACTTAGGCACGTGAGTGGGATAAGGTAGGAGAGACAATGTTAGGTCTGACTCATGTCAGTGAGGTGAGGTGCTGGAAGCTTGTTGGCTTCTTACTTGACAGCATAACCCCTTTTTTACACATGCTACCTGGGGAACACAATGACCAAAGGAACAAACTTTGGGAAATGCTGAACTAGATTATCCTTAAGCGTCTTGACTAGATTATCCTTAAGCTTCTTTTAGCTGTAAACTCTTTTTCATCTAGTTTTCTTCAAATGTTTATTTTAATTCAAGACTTCCTATTTTGTTAGGGCTGGCAGTTGTTGGGACAACAGTTCTTTAAACACAGCTAGCTATACTTGAAAATAATGAAATTAATTTTTGCACATTATTGGAAGTTCAGAGGAGGGCATATTTGCATATTTCAGCCACAGTAAAAATTGACTCAGCGTCGTCAAAATAGACCTAAGTACTTTCTGCTCTGCTGTCCTCTGTATTAACTTTGTATTAAAGCTATTTGTATCATAATTAAAAGATAGATGCCAGTGGCAGTTGAGATCACAAATTTCCCAGCAAGAGAGATTGCACACATGTGCACGTACAAATGCATGTGCACACTAGATCACCTACCCATGTAGGGGCCAGTTACAGTCAGTCCTTTGTATGATCTATTTCAAAATAAAAAGAAAGCCAATGAACAAAGCAGACAGGTCACTTTACATTTCTAGTGAAGCAATCCTGTACCTCTAGTTATGGCTCCCTGACACTTGTGACCTTTTAAGGGATCGGTATGGGAATTTCTCAGCCTCTCACAGGGAAATAATGTGTTCTGAATAATAGTGTTCTGAACACTGCTTAACAGGCCATTTCTACTTAGTCATTTCTTTTCTTCTTTTATATAGGAATTGCAGTTTCAAAATCAAATATTTGCCAAGGAGAGCAAGGATCAGAATTTTGGGATCCGAGTCTTACACATTCTGGAAAAAGGAGCACTGCAGATTATAACCTAGATAATGAGCAAACAAAAGCAGCTCAGGCTTTGGCCTGGAGGGACTCAAGGGCCTGGGAAGAACAATACCAATGGGACGTGGAGGACATGAAGGTGTCAGGTGTGCACTGGGGCTACGAGGAGACCAAGACTTTCCTGGCAATCTTGAGTGAGTCTCCTTTCTCTGAAAAACTCCGGACTTGTCACCAGAACCGCCAAGTATACCGTGCTATCGCAGAACGACTGAGGGCCCGGGGCTTCCTGCGGACACTGGAGCAGTGTCGCTACAGGGTCAAAAACCTCCTAAGGAATTACCGGAAAGCCAAGAGCAGCCACCCACCAGGGACGTGCCCCTTCTACGAGGAGCTGGAGGCCCTGGTGAGGGCCCGGACAGCCATAAGAGCCACAGATGCACCAGGAGAGGTGGTGGCAGTCCCCAGGCTGGGGGACAGTGATGCAGAGATGGACGAACAGGAGGAAGGGGGCTGGGAACCTGAGGAAGCAGCAGAAGACTGTAATGGTGATGTGCTCACCGCTGATGAGTCTGTCCAGGGGCCCAGCATTCCAGGAGGCCCAACTCTGTTCCACAGTCGTATTGGTAAGAACTTGGGGGTTTAACAGGATCTAGATTCTATCCCTCCTTCCAGTCAGACCTCTGCTCCCCGAGTTCAGGGCAGCGACTGCAAGTCTGGACTGACACTGCTGGAGCAAGGTGCTAAGTTCCTTAGGGCATCGGTGACACCTATACTCTTCCCTGATGACCAGTTCTCCTTGTACAAATTTTCTTAGTTATGGAAGCAAGCCCCTTTAAAAGCACGACGGATCTTAAAGCATTATTTCCTAAAGCAATATGGTAATATGGAGTCAATCCTAGGTATTACAGGAGTAAACTTCTACATATAATGTCTGAGCACATTAACCCATGACTCCACAGATTGTTATTTTAGATAAAGATATTGCGTGAAATATTAAACAGATATAGCAGAAATCACGAAATGTTTGAATAATCAAGTCATTGTGAACACCTAGTTATTGTAAAAGTAGAAACACTAAAGCTCGAGAGAGAATGTGTCTCGGCTAAACATACACAGTGAGGCAGGAGCGGAGTCAGGGTCAGAGCCCCGGGCTCCCACCTCCAGTTCTACGTGGTTTGTTCTCTACAAGGTGGCCTGCCTGAATACATCATTTACCTGCAGAGGAACTGAGAATAGACCCTTTCCTTTTCATTGTTCCACAGAAGAGGAAAGGGCAACCTCAGAAGGGCTCTATTGCAAGATTATCTGAAGTCCGTGTGTATCTTTAATATTTAGGGATCCTCAGTTTCTGTATTTGTTAACAGGAAAATTCATAAATAGAAGATGTTTATTGAATCTTTTATTGAATTCCCAAGATATAGGAAATATCTCGGATTCGAGTTACAGGTCTTTCCTTCAACCGGCTAGCGGTTGTGTGCACAGAGAGCGGGGGTCACCGGGCATACTATGTTCTAAGTTCTCTCACTTCTGCCAAGTGTTAATGGAATCTCTTAGAAGTGGGGGGTAGGAAGGGTGATGGTGGGAAGTTCTGTATAGCCCCAAGAAGCAAGGGAATATTACTTGCTGGTGCTTCAGACATGCTGAAAGTTTCTGAGGTGCCTATGTTCTAGGCGTTTAGCAGGGAAGGTGACTGATCCCTGATGACCTAGGCGATGTATTAAGTCTCACAATTCTGAAATCTTCACTCCTGACAGCAGGTGTGCACTGGGGCTACGAGGAGACCAAGGCTTTTCTGACCATTCTCAGTGAGTCTCCATTCTCTGAAAAGCTGCGCACCTGCCACCAGAATAGCCAGGTATACCGTGCCATTGCAGAGCGTTTGTGTGCACAGGGCTTCCTACGGACACTGGAACAGTGTCGCTACAGATTCAAAAACCTCCTTCGAAGCTACCGGAAAGCCAAGAGCAGCCACCCACCAGGGACATGCCCCTTCTATGAGGAGCTGGACTCGTTGATGAGGGCTCGGACAGCCGTTAGAGCCATGGGACCCCTCAGGGAGTCAACGGGGCTCCCTAGATCTGGGCAGAGCAGCAAGACTGATGACCAGGAGGTCTGGGATGAGATGGCAGATGAAGATGCAATCAAACTGCCAACCCCATGTCCTAAAACTCCAGACACTGGTAAGTCCGCAGTAATTACATGTCTACAAAGTCCACAAGCCCATAGACTGAGGAAGCCAGGCTCATTATCTTGTCTCTGAATTAAAGAGGGAAAGGATTTGTGTTCACATTATATATTCTCTAACTTAATGTGATCCCCCAAATGAGACAGTCAGGTGCAGATTTTACTGGGGTTTATTTGGGCAGTTATAGAGTTTATTCAGTCTCACATGATAATGAATGTATTATAAGGAGAAAGTGGAGTAGCGGAGTGGACTAGCAGGCTGTTAGGCTTGGAGTTTATGACCACCGTGGTGGTGGTGTTGGTGGGGTTGCCCTGTCCCATGCTGTTCTCAGTTTTGTAGATCAGAAATGCATGTATGCGCCAACACTTGATTTGTTTCATGTTAGTCACATGTGTAGATGTGAGGTGTAAGATATGAGACACATTTTAGCCCAATTCACAAGACACAAGATACAGATATATAAATAGATGCTAACTGGTGAATAAACAAAAACTGCGTTTCCATTTATTCTTTCAGGTTTTGGAATGAGGCATGAGGATGAAGACCAGATTTCAGAGCAGGACATTTTTGAGGATTTGCCTGGAGCCTTGTCAAAATGTGCCACAGAGGATGTTTGCCACCCTCATGAATGGGAGGAAGATAGTGAAAATGAAAGTGAAGGACAGTGGGGAAATCCATCACAGGAGCAGTGGGAAGAGTATTCTTCTGAAGAGGACTTAGAAAAACTTATTGATCATCAAGGCCTGTACCTTGCAGAGAAACCCTACAAGTGTGACACCTGTGTGAAAACCTTCACTCGGAGTTCCCACTTTATTGCCCACCAGCGGATACACACAGGTGAGAAGCCCTACAAATGCATTGAATGTGGGAAAAGCTTTAGTGACCGCTCCAACCTCAATACTCATCAGAGAATCCACACTGGAGAAAAGCCCTACAAATGCCTCGAATGTGGGAAAAGCTTTAGTGACCACTCTAATCTTGTTACCCACCAGAGAATCCACACAGGGGAAAAGCCCTATAAATGTGGTGAATGTTGGAAAAGCTTCAATCAGAGCTCAAACCTTCTAAAACATCAGAGAATCCACTTGGCAGGAAATCCTGATCACTGTATTGAGCCCAGGGATAACTTGGGACAAAATTTACCCACTAGTACTCACTGGAGGAATTTGGCTGAGGAGACATCTAGACAACCTCAAAATGCCAGTAAGAACTTGAATTCTCCTAGACCACACAGCACCAACTCAGGGGAAAAGCTCTATCAGTGTTCTGAATGTGGAAGAACATTCTCTAAGAGCTCTGCCCTCATTAGTCACCAAAGAATCCACACAGGAGAGAAACCATATGAATGTGCTGAATGTGGGAAAAGCTTCAGTAAGAGCTCCACGCTGGCCAACCACCAGCGAACCCACACTGGGGAAAAGCCATATAAGTGTGTGGACTGTGGGAAATGCTTCAGTGAGCGCTCTAAACTCATCACTCATCAGAGAGTGCACACAGGAGAGAAGCCCTACAAATGCCTTGAGTGTGGAAAATTCTTTCGTGACCGTTCAAACCTCATTACTCACCAGAGGATTCATACAGGAGAGAAGCCTTATAAGTGCAGAGAATGTGGGAAATGTTTTAACCAGAGTTCCAGTCTTATAATTCATCAGAGAATCCACACTGGGGAGAAACCTTACAAGTGCATGGAGTGTGGAAAAGACTTCAATAACAGCTCCCACTTCAGTGCCCACCGGAGAACCCATGCAGGAGGGAAAGCATCATAGGAGACACTTACTCCCACAGCAAAAGAGAAACATATATATTTAAATCTCCCAAACAATGTCATCATAAAATATTTAGAAAGGAACTTTCCTAATTTTTAAGCTTAGTATATTCCCAGGGAAGTTATCTTGACATAATCCAGGTAATTTGGAAGTGAATTATAAATGCTAAGGATCCAGATTTAAAGGCACTTCACAGTGTGATTGTTTTTCTCCTATAAAGAACTCAAACACTATCCTCAGGCTGGCCTTACATATGGTGTCATGTAAGAGCTGTGTCAGTGTTGGTGCCAAACTGGTAATTTAGGGGGTTAGAGATAAATTGGTGTCCCCAAGCAGTGATCCCAACCCTTGCTGTGCCTTTACACTGTCCACATGTACTCATACCCATCAACATACGTCAGAGATACTTGTATATGGCAGTTTTCAGTTGGAATGTATCGTCACAAGGAAACTTCGAGACTGCTGAGAGTAGGGCATAATTGAGAATCTGGCCTATACTCAGCAAAGGGTAGAAACAACAGTGATGTCATTACTAAATCATTACTAATAACAAAATAACCAGTGTTTATTGAACATTTGCTCGTTAGCAGGCTCTGTGCTGAGTACTTTGTATACATCATCTCATTTAATCCTCACAACAGCTCTAGGAAGTAGATCATATTCTCCCCATTTCCCAGAGAAGAAAACTAAGTTATGCAAAGTTACGTAACTTGCTTGCTCTGAAAATGGCAGAGTTGCTTGTCTACCAGATGTGTTTGTCTCCAGAATCTGAGGCTACACTTAGGCTCCCACTTACATTAGGGCAGGCAACTCAGGTGCTGGGATCTCAAAGCACTTTGTAGATCACTTTTGCTGTTAAAATTCCTTTGTGAATTCTTTTTAAACAAATATGGAAATTGGGAATCCCTGAAGATTAAAGCTCTTGGGATGTTCACAATTGGAATGTGCTTTGAGCAAGACTAAGCCATTATCAAAGTATTTGATGAGGATTTTCATCTTCACATTAATGTGGGTGAGAGATGTAGGTCAGTAGAGACTGGGAAAAATATGTAGCTAAAATGATGTTTTCTTTCAATGAGATACTGCTCTGGCTGAGGAACTGGAGTTTAAGGATTTCCCTTTTCTCAGGAGTCAGTCCTGCTTCCGGTTAGATTGGGCTGAATCATAGGTTAAACTTTGAAGACCTGGACTTCCTTGCCAGTGTTTACTCATCCATGTGGTTTGGCCTCTTTGGCCCTTCCCCTCTTGACATGGCAGCTGCTTTATTCCTGATCCTCACACCAACGCTCAGGAGTGCTGTGTGTGATACCTTGGCATGGCCTGGACTCATCCGCATTCCAGATTTATGGCACAGTTTTATCCTGGACCATCTGGTCTCAGTATATTCTAAATGTTGCCATTAAGACCCACCTCCCACCTAGAGGGGCTAAATCAGAAAGGCTCACAACACTGGATGGTTTTCTAATTTGCAGCATTTTTGGCCTCCAGAGTTTCTTTTTGGAAGGTTTAAAAATGCTTATCAAGAACTCTGATTTCCACTGGATTTTCAATGAAAATCCACCCATGACATTGGGATGCCATTCATATTCTGGTTACTGCATGGACTTGGGAAGTACCTATCAGATGATAGGTGCATGCGAACCTTTTAGAGTGGCGCTCTGTATTCACAGTAGAAAGATTTGCACTGCCGACAAATGAGATCTCTCAACCCCCTCTGTTTCCCAAGAACCAGCTCACCTGGGATCACTGCTTTTTACTACTTCCCAGTTTACCTCTCCCCGCTCACATTTTTGCTGAGGGGCAGGGTTTTGCATGAGTATTGGAATGGAACTAGCAGCTATCAGTAACTGCAATAATAAGATGATCTTTAGAGGACCACGTAAGTCAAAAGGAAGGATCCCCCAAAAAGGGGAAGGGAGTTCCAGGGGAAGAAACGGTGGTGTGAAATAGCTTGGATTCTGAGTGGGGGTGGGAGCCATTAACTTCTTAGCTCTAGTGTGGTGTAAAATGGGAGGTGGGGCATGATGGGAGCTGAGTTGGATGGACACTGGGGCAGGGTCTGGAGGACCCAAGTCTGAGTGGAGCTTGGACACCAGGCTGAGGCTGACGTGTCACACATGAAATCTAGTAACTGGTTGGAAGCTGGATATGCTGTCATTATGATGACCTCTCAGGACGCTATTGCAATATTCCAGTTACCAGGTGATCCGAAGTAGAACAGTGGTTACATCAAAGAGGGGATGGATTGGAGAGGTTTTGGAAGCAGAATTGAGGACAATTCTAGAGGAAACCGAGATAGCCTTGGGCAAACTGGTAGAACTTGTCATCGTCCAGAACCAGGAACACAAGGAGGAGATGCAGATGGGGCAGGAGGGCAGGTTATCATTTTAGTTGGGACATTTAGAACTTGTGTCTAAGGGACATCCAAGTGGCCATATACAGCAGGCAGGTCTGGGCCTGCAGTGGGGGGAGAGGTTAGGACTGGAGAGCTATCTGTGTAGCACAGTAGTTAAACTCATGAGAAAGCGAGTGTGTTTAGTCAGAAATATTGGGCCTAGGACTGAACTGGAGACACAAAATGTAGAAGATGCCCCGCCAGGGAGATCTAGACCACTCCCTGCACCCACCTCCTCATCTGGCATCTTTTGGACACTGTATCGTTGCTGACACCTGAGTTCTCAATGGCGTCCCAGGTGTTCTGGAACTTTCATTGTGGAAACCAAGCTGAGCTCCGTGTAGAGTGCGGCGGTAGTCTCTTCGCCACTGAGTGTCCCCCATTCCTGGACTCTTGGATGCGTCTCATGTTTTCAGTGAATGGTTTTGATGTTTCTTACCGATCCTTCCTTCCTCAGAACTAGGTTCAGCCATGAAAGCAAGAGTAGTGTGAGCCAGAAGAGAGAACTGCCCTCCCTGTGTTTCTGCCTCTTCCTTGGGAAGTTCTTTCAGGGGGCTTCCATGTTAGGGTCTGACCCATCACTTTGCCAGGGCACCCCGATATCCTCCAGCAGGTCCTTGTTGCTCAAATAAACTGACTCAAAGTGGTGGCAGACTCCCTGGACGTGTTAACGTGAGTCTGCTCTTGGGAAGTAGACTGCAGTATGGGTGGACAGTTTCTCAGCCTGGTCCTGGAAACTGAGGCAGGGACTGCTAGCCTGGGTCTGTGTCTCCTTGCTTGCTCCCTCCTTCCCCAGAAGGACTCATTCCACAGACCCCTCAGGAGGCAGATGACCCAAAGGTAGGCGCAGGGAAAGGTGGAGCACAGGCTGCTTCGGAAACCCAGATTTCTTGTAGGGCTGGGCGCCTCAGCAGATGAGCTCATGGTCAGGCTTCCCCCAGCCTGATTGTCACCCAGAGCCTCCTACCTGGGAGGGTAAGGCAACTGGGGGTCTCCCATGATGACAAATGCAGCAGCCAAGACCCCTGTGTCATCCTCAGTTCTCCCTGCTGCATCCCGATCTGGGACCCCCCGTGGGAGAGTTCTCTGCCTTCAGGCTGCAGAATTATATTTAGTCTGGAGGGAAGAGTAACTCGGGGGGCTGGGGTGCAGGAGTTTTGAAGTGATGCAGTGGTGTCCAGAGTGGGTGTCAGTCACATTACCCAGGCTGCCCTGGGATTTTGCATTCAGACTCCTGTGCGAGGCATCCTTTCGATCCCCTCTCTCTATTCCACTTTCATTTTACCACTGTCTAGATGCTGCTGATCTCTGGATGGGTGTCCTACCCCTACCCTGGATCTCAGGAGCCCAGTGGCTTCCGGACAGCCCTCCTAGACTCCTCCGTTCCCCACGTCCACCTCTGCTGTCCTGGACCTTGTTACCCATCCATTCAGCACGTGCATTTACACACACCCTTAGGGGTTCATCCCCATTGAGGCCTATGGATTGAGACTTGTCATAGACTCACTCCCCCGACACATTTTTCCCTTCTGAGGGCATTTTCCAATTGGGCTGTGGTTACCCAGCGGCCTGGGAAGTCTTTTTGAATGGAGTCAGTGTCTACAGTTGGAATTAATCCTGTGAAACACTCTCTGCCTCAATCCCCTCCCTGTGGTGCCCCCTCAGCAACCCTTCTCTTAGCAGTAAACACCAGTTTCGGGTCCCTGCACAGTCTGCTTCGAGAGATTGGTGCCACCTTAGAGTGGGAGGTCAGGGAAGGTGGAGAGCTGGGACTTAAATTGGATCTCGGAGTCTGGAATGGCAGACTTAGTCTTTCTCATGGCTGCTGGCTGCTGATCTCTCACACTCCCATTTCCTCCCTGCCTGCCTCCCCCGCTCTGATTTTAGGCAACTCTGGAATTAGCTCCAAATGCACATTTTAGGTTTCCAGAGGCATATTCCTTCCTGACCTCACAATTACTTCCCCCATCCCATGCTGCAGCTGAATGGGTGCTTTTTGCCCATGTCCCCCTGGTGCCTATTGCTCCTTTCCTGCCAGGAACCCCAGAAGGAGCCTGTGCTCCAGTAATCCCGTCTGTGCTGCTTGGAGGAAGTGGCAGACATAGAAGCTGCCACCGTTCTCAGGGTGTGGCCAGTCCTCCCACCTCCCGTGCAGCTGAGACCTCCCACCTCCCACTGCTGAGAACTGCTTTGTTCTAAGAGCCACTTGTCAGGTCAGGAGTGTCAGGACAATCCAGGAAGTTAATGACAGTGTTGCCAAAACTCACTGTACAAGTAGAGTTGGGATCCACACAGACATTGCTTTTTTTTAATTAGGGACACAGTGATTCTCTTTGTGTTTAAAGATGATTTGATGCTGTCTGCTGTTACATAACGCTTATTTTTAAAGTCGCATTTATTTTTCACATTTTCATGTCAGGAAAATGTCCCAGGATTGTGGCCCCTAGAGCACGAGGGCCGCGGGAAGGGTCTTCAATGCTGGTTCTGGGTCAGCATTATGCGTTCACCTTGCGCTTGTTATTTTCTTTCCATGGAGATCAGGTGGCTTCACCTGACTCCCAGCTACAGGTGCAGGAGTTTGCATTTGCTTTCTGCCACACACTGTTGTGTGCACTTGACCAGATTTCAGCCACCCCGGCCTCCTTTCACTTCCTACAGTGGGCGAGCCCTTCCCACCGTTGAACATCCAATTCCAACTTGGATTCTCATCTTTGATTCATCACCTGGCTAACACCCACTCCTCTTTCAGGTCTCAGTTGATAAATCACAAAAAAGCAGTCCCTAACTCTCCTCCCATTTTGCCTCATATCACTCACCTAGTCTGTTATTACACATTTGATTTTTAATGTCTGAGTGGACACTGCTTGTGGCCGCCCCCTCCCCTAGCGTATGCAGCTTCTGTTCAGGTGACTGGTTCCTCTTATCAAGTCCATGCGACTCAGGGCTTCCCTGCTTTGTCCAAAGTGACCCCCTTCTTCCCGGTCCCTTCTCCATCGAGGAACAGCGAATCGGTGATGCCATTTCCAGAATGACAGGGATTGGATGCTCAGAGACAGATGACCCAGTTTAAGCCAATGAGATGAAGTAGCAGGTGGGGGGACAGGACTAGAATAATTTAGCGTTTGAATTTCACCAATTTGAGAGCAGCCTGGAGCCAGAGACACACATAGAATACAGGCGAGGGAGCCCAGAGAAATGGAGCTGGAGATATTGATGTTGACACTTACTCAGCTGTCAGACTTTATGAAGTGAGCAGATCTATTTTCTTGTTAAGTTAGTTTGAGCTGGGTTTTCTTTTCCTTGCAGCTGAAAGCAATACACCTAACAACTTCCAGTCCCTAGTCCCCTCTTTCTTCGATCCATCACTTCATATCCCTTCCTACCTAGCTTAAGTGCCATAATTCAGAACTTCAACCATTCTTGCTAACATCCTTGCATTTCCCACTGCTGTCTTCTATTACATCTGCCTGGCATAATCTCAATCATTTAAGATCCAATAATGCAGCCTATTACCTGCAGTCATGCTATTGACTTTTACTGGAAGGAAAAAAAATGATCATAAAGATTGATGCCATAATAAATTCGTGGTCAATTAGGTCCTAAACAAGGTCCAACAATCACTCTACTAGGTTGTTCATGGTGGCAATGTGATGGCAAAACATTTTGTAACCGAAATGTCCAATAAAGGGGAATGTGATAAAAATTATAGTAGCAGCAGGCAACAGAAAATGAAGTAGCCATTTAAAATGTGAAAAAAAATATACAGCCCCCATGTGAAAATGCTCACAATAAACTGTTAGCTCACAAGAGTAATATCACAAAAGCATGTGTGAGTACAAAAATACTCCAAAAGGATCTATGATGATGAAATGTAATGTGGTAATCTCAGAGTGCTGGAATTACAGACTTGTGATTTTCAAATATAATGTTCAATATTAATTTAAGATAAAATTTAAAATTATTTACAGTTCTATGAAATAGAAGCAAGGACCAGAGATGATCTAGAATCCTCATCAACTTTCTAAAGTCGACACCAGCCCTTTTTTTGTTCTTAAAATATATCCTACCAGAGATGTACAAACAGGATTCTGTGTCACAAGTAATTTGAAATAATTATTTGCCAACTTTATAGATCATTAGGATTATTTATTTCATTTGTTTTTCAATTTGGGGAATTTATTTTTTCATGATTGTCAGTTTGGAAAAACTGCCTTTTTTCCTGTTCTCTCGACTAATTTGTATAACATGGAGGTAATGTAGTCTTTGAAGGTTTGGTGAAATTCTTCTTTAAAAGAGTGTAGTCCTGATTCTTTCCTTCCAACTTTTTATTTTGAAAATTGCTCAATAGTGAATTCAGGGAATTGATAATGATACTATCTACTACTCAGTCCATAGTCTCTTTGTGCTTCCTTGTTTTTTGTCACAACAGGTGTCCCAGGTTCAGCTTGTATTTAGCTTGCCTCCCCATGTGGAATCAGTCACTTCCCCAGGGAGTCTGCTTCCTTTTAATGGGGAGTGGTATTTAGAAATCAGAAACTGGACATTCAGTGTGCTCACTGCTACTTTGCTGTTATTGCTTTTGACCATTTTATTGGGCAGACTTAGGAAATATATATGTGGATTTTAAATTTCATGAGTTCATGTTAACATTTCCAATTCAAATTTAGTATTACATGATTTTTATTAACCTATTTTATTTTATATTTATATTTCTCTTACAGGTACATCTTGGTGCTAATTAACATTAATGTATTATTTGCTTATCATATTTTATTTGCTTTATCACTGTTTTAAAATTATGAGACCAATATTACTACTAATAAATAATGTTCACGATTTCAGTCCTTCTTTGCAGTCCTTCTTATCATTAGAACAGATACCAGTAAGAGTTCTGTGTTCAAAGTGACTTAAAGCACCAAAAAGAATGAAATACTTTGGAGTAAACTTAATGAGGAAGGTGAAGTACCTATACATTGAACTTTAATGCTCTGTTAAAGGAAATAAGACACAAAGCTATCCCATGCTCATGGATTAGAAAACACTGTTAAAATGGCTATATTACCTAAAGCAATTTATAGATTCAACGAAATACATATCAAAAGCCCAATGACATTTTTCAAGGAAATAAAACAATTATGAAACTGTTATACAACCACAAATGGCCCAAATAGCCAAAGCAATCCTAAGAGAAAAGAAAAGGAGGTATCATACTTCCTGACTTCAAACTATATTGAATCAATATAGTTTCAAAACAGCAATCAAAACAGTCTGGTATTGGAACAAAAACAGAAACACAAACCATTGGAATAGACTAGAAAACCCAGAAGTAAATTCACACAAATATGGGCAATTAATCTTTGACAGAGTTGCTGCAACCATACAATGAAGAAAAGCCTCTTTAACAAATGATTTTGGGAAAGATGGACAGTCACATGCAGAAAAATGAAACTAGATCCATGCGTAACTCCATATACAAAAATTAATTCAAAATGGATTAAAGACTTGGATATAAATACTGCACCATAAAATATATAAAAGAAAATATAGGGGGCACATGATAGGACAGCAACCACAAAGTTATATTTGAGCATGCGGCCCCAACAGCAAGGGAAAAGCAAAAACAGACCAGTGAGACAACATCAAACTTAAAAGCTTTTCTACTTCAAAAGAAACGATCACGAAAACAAAAAGGCAACCTTAGACTGGGAGAAGATATCTGCATATCACACGTCTGACACAGGGCTAATTCCAAAATATATAAAGTGCTTATACAATCCAACAACAATAAAATAGGCGACACAACTTAAAAAATGTGCAAAAGACCTGAATAGATACTTTCTAAAGAAGATACTCAGGTGGTGTACAGACACATGAAAAATCGTTCAATATCACTTGGGAAATGCAGATCAAAACCAGAATATCACCTCACTTCTGTGAAAATGACCCATATTAAAAAAAAAAAATGAAAACATGTTGGCAAGGATGTGGACAAAGAAAATTCTCATCCACTTTTGGTGGGAATGCAATTTGGTGCAGCCTCTATGGAAAATGGTAAAAAGATACCTTAAAAAAAAAAAAAAAAAAAGGAAATCCCAAACCTCTCCCAAAGACTATGAAAACCTAATATGAAAAGACTTACGCGCTCCTGTGTTCATGGCAGCACCATCCACAATTGCCAAGTCATGGAACCCCCATAAG